CATGCTAGTTGTCGCGGCTCTTTTACCTGCCGGTAATCCTGCACCAGCTGGGCCGATTGTTGAGCTAAGGCTGGGTCTGGAGCTCCCAGACCTCTCAACCCATTCACAGACTGGGTCACAAACCCTTCACACCCCAGGCTTGGTCACCAGACCCCTCCACGCCAGGCTGGGTCACCAGACTCCTTCACACAGGTCTTTAAGCTAGGCAATCAGCCACATAGTCCTTGAAACCTGCAGGTCTGGAAAAAACATAGCCACGCAGCGTGGGCACCCGAGGCAGTAAAAACCAGCCAAAGTGGCCCCGCCTTGCAGGTGCAGATTCTCCACCCACATGATGTTTTCTGAACCGCCCCTAAACCAGGCCCCAAGATGAGGGGAGCCTGACCAAATTGGTTCACTTTTCCCAAGAGATGGCAACTTGATAATGTCATCAATATTATAAGCCTTCCCTATTATGATTAGCACATGGTTTCCACTCTCATTGTCATCCTGTGTTTTCAGAATGGCTGTGGCATTTCTGTACACATTTCAAGAAGGAAAAAAGAAGAAGGTGAAAGGGAAAAATGGCACCTGAAACATGAGAAAGCACTTTTAAAAGAACTTTAATGAAAGCAAAAACAAGAACTCCCATTGACCCTCCCTACATGTAAAGAGATTGCAAAGTATATTTCTTTGGCCTGGGTGTGTTGCAACCCATAACAATATAAAGGTTCAATTAATTAGAAGGAAGAGGGGAATAAATATTGGGTGGGTAACTAGCCATCTTTATCACGAAAGTTTCTGGTATGTCAAAACATTTTGTAAAACAGTAATAGAATAATGACACTTTATCATTATATATCTAGAAATGATAAGACTAGTTACAAAACAGTAGCCCTAAATTGATTTGCTCTACTTCCCTTTTTTGAAATCTCTTTTTCCTTTGGTTTTATGGTGTTTTGTATGTGGTATAATAATTTTAAACATATGTTTTGTGTATAAACAAATATAACAAACTTGGGAACACTCAATTGTTATAGAACAATTAGAAAAGAATAGTTGGGAATGAGGAGTAACACTGGAAAAATGCAATGAAAATGCAAGAAAATGCAAATTAGCTAGCCAAATAGCACATTTATGGACCCAACAAATCTCTAAAACTAATTTTCCATTTTTCATCCACTTTCAGAACATGTTAAAGAGAGCTTTAGAAAATCAAATCAGATTTTCATGTGGAAATTATAATATTTATCTTAACAATTTGTCAATTAAAAATAAAATATATTATTAATTATCGTAGCAATCCCTGAAAATACCACACGTTATTAGAATTTGTGAAAGGGTGTTTTTGAAGTGCAAAGTCTATTTAAATATCCCAGGGTGCAAGTCAAATAAAAGTCTATCAATAGCCCTGTTTCTTTTCAAACAATGCAAAATTAGATTATTGAAATAGAGTGCTTCTGTGTCCTTGTCTGAAGAAACATTATGTATAAATCAAAGGAGCTTGACTCTACCAGTGGAATTCATTTCATGCTTTTCTTTTTCTTTTTACATAAAGCAAATCGTCTTTAGATCTTAAGCTTATGATAGAGAATGTTTGAAATGTTTTAAAGTCATCAATGTTTACACTACCCTCTAGGCAGAAAGCTTGTCCAAATTCACAACAGATCTATACGTATGCTGTTATTTCTCTGTCATTCAAATTATTTAAGCCCTCATACATAATATTGAATGGACTTTTTCTTCCTACTCATGTCAAAAACTTTGTATAAAATGATTGTTGGCTTTACATGATGTCTATGTAGAACACCCCTGTTTTTCTGCTTCAAAGTCTGGAACATCTAAAAAAAAGCACAAGAGCCAGACATACAGACATCAAAGCATCAACTTCATTACTGACAAAGCTATTTAGAGAAAGAGGGTCAAATCTGGGGCAACAAAGGGCTTCTTACTTGCATCGTAGACTTGAACTACCTCATCCAGTCACAGGATGGAATCTCTGGAGAGCTTACCCTCCTAAACTTTCTGCATGGCCAAAGTGCAAAGAATAAAACCTTTCTGCAAGCAGAGAGATTCAGAAAGCAGAAAGTAAGACGTCTCCTTCCTCCTTCTCTCCTCCTCTCACTTTGAGTTAATAAAAGGATGAGAGAGTGAAAAGCTTTGATTGATATTCTGGATCAGTGATTCTCAAACTACAGTTCATGGACCAGCAGTATCAGCAACTTCTTTTCGATGCAGATTATCAGGGCTCACCCACACCTACTGAATTGAGGCTNCTCAAAAAGGACAAAAAAAAAAAAAAAAAATGCAGA